CAAAACAGGCCGCAAGTTATTGCCAAAAAAATGGTAGCATACTTCTCAGGGAGCCAAAGGAAAAAAAATGTGCTTTGCCCCGGCATTTCGGCAAACATATTTTCGCAAATGTTATAAATAATTTTAAACGCACACCTTGTTGAACCCCCCTCGAAACGTTGCCATTTTGCAGCATCCCCTCATTTTTTCCCGCTTTGCCCAGGCCACGACCCTTGGCGTATTAGTGTCGCATTGACACGTAAATTGACATGAAATTGAATCAATGCTGTAATATGTCCTTGGGGGGAGCTGCTCAAGCCGAAGGGGGAATGGGACTAGTCCTTTGGACTCCCGCAAGGACAATGACTTTAAAATATCTCCCTCGGTATATATATATATATGTGTTTAGCTCTCGTCTGGCAAATTGAGCTGTAGGCCTTGCCTTAGCCCCCCCCCCCCCCACTGCCACTGTGACTGTGCAAATTTTGTGCGTCTGTCTGCATGTTTGATTATATGTACTAAATCATCTCATTCTTTTTTTTCCTTGCCATTTTTTATTTATTTTTTGGCGAGGGCGATGGCGATGGCGATGCTGAGTTTATTAACTTGTTTAAAGGCAACGCAGTATTTAACCCTTTAAGGGCACGGCGAAAGTCACCCCCGGAGCGGAAGGAATGAGCCTGGGCCTGGGCGTGTTGGCAGGGCAAGAACATGAAAGAATATGTTACAAAGCTGGGGGGGGTTATTGAAGTCTAAGTTCATGTTGGAGCAAGTGAAGGGTTAAGAGCGAGGCAAGTCATTGGGTATTGCAAAAGGAACATCAATAAATGGCACTTCCCATGACTAGGAGACCTGCAACTCCTCAAAACTAAACACTTTCTAGTAATTAATGTAAAGACTATTTAAGTTTCTTAAAGTAATGAGACTTCAAAGCCACCCAACTCATTGATTTGATCTTCTTCCGATTGGCATTCACTTTCTGGACCGAAACCTCAACACAAAAAGCGTAAACCCTCATCCAGGATAACCAGAATAACCATATGTGTATATATATATATATATATATTTGCATTTAAGGGTGTAGTCAGCTCACTTTGATCTTTGCCTTTCGCCTTTGACGGCGGCCACGCCAGGCCAGGCCAGGGCAGGCCAAAAAAGGGGTTTTAAATAAATAATCTTAAATAGGGAAAAATCATATGCTCGCATGTCGGGCATTGTCTTGCGATGTTCCGTGGAAATTAATTCGAGCAGAAAATTCATTTACAACATTAGCGCGTCGCCGCCGCCGCCGCTTTTCCTTTTCCTTTTTTTTGTTTTTGTTTTTGCTGCCTTTTCTTGCTGGGTTTTTATGACATAAATTACATCAAGCGCAAAATTTTAATATAATTTTCACTAAAAACGCAACGCGAAACTTTTTTAGTTACACGCCTTGCTCATCAAAGTAGCTGGGCGGGGGACGGGGGGCGGGAGAGTGGTGTTTTCGGGTGGCGAGGGAGAGGAGCTAGGCGTGTGTGAAACAGGATATCCGCTGCGGAAGCTACAAATTTTCCACTTTCCACACACACACACACACTCTCTTACACACGCACGCACACGGAGTGAAGGGGTGAGGTGGCACCTTCTAAAGGATGTGTGGAAATGCAGGAAAGTAGGGAAATTTCGGAAAAAATACAGAGAAAAGAAGTGGGAATGAACGTGAAAACTGTAGAAAACTGTTACTTAGCTCTCCTTTTTACGGAGATTGTTTGGTAGAGAAAGAAAAGAAAATTAATCATAATGGCCAATACTAATATTAACTTTTAAAAACCAAAAATTGCTATTCTGGCAAATTCCCAACCATTTTAGGTAACATTTTCTCTCAGTGCACTGTAGAGACCCTGCTGAAAGTTGTCACTAATGTGCTTCTGCTTACAACGCCATTTTATATTTATTTCGTTACATCGTCTCCGGGCGGAAAGGACTCTCCACTATATATTTTATACCATACTACTCAACTACTCTCGCACATATTTGCCGAGTCCTTTTAATCATTTGGCAAACTTTCCCTGACACGCAGCCCGAGATCCCGTTAAAGGAGTCAACTACGTTTTCCGTATGCCAAAAAACTACTCACCAACACAAGCACACACACACACACACGCACACACATACACTCCCATATGCCAGCACAAAGTCCTTTTAGTTTTTAATGTAATTTTGAGACTTTTTCAGCTGCTGTGTCACTTTGCACACGCCGAGAGTATGGCGGGGCGTACAGTGAACCCCCTGGAATTCCCCACCGAATTCCCCTCGGGGTCACAAGTTATTTCTTTAAGTGATTCGCCAGGACATGGGTTACAGTTTAGCCAAAGGTTTTTGGCCAAGCAACATGCGAACTTGGTTTTAAGCTTAAGGAGATCTTTCAACTTTTAAGGATTTAAAGCGAAGTAATACGAGTTTTATGTTAATGGAAAATAAAAGCTTGTTGTTAACTTGTATTTCAAATTTAAATATTATCTTATTTGAAGCTTAAAGTACTGATTAAATAAGCATATGATTAATCAGCTAGCTAACTTAAGAATTCCTCTAAGTTTTATTATCAACTGTTGATGGCTAGCCAGCCAAATAGCCATCGATACTTTAAGGGTCTTTAAATGAAAGATCCTTAAGGGATTCAAGATATCTTTCTGCATGTTTCCATGGATGCATAGCAACGGATATTCTGGATCATAGTACATGAAGTACACGAGATAGTACATGAACTATCAGCTAGTTGGTTGTGGTAAGCGAAAGGCAGCGTCATCTTTCGAATTTATCATCATTGCATGATTTTAGCAAGAAAACACAAGAACTAACTTATAAAAACTTGCAGAATAGCAGCCATTAATTTGATTTTAAAATCAATAAAAACCTTTTAAAACTTGACTAAATCTAAGAATCACTTCTGATGAGCATCTCAGGGAAAGTCTAGCCATTAAAGTCACAAAATCTTCGCCCGATTGGGAAACTCATAAATGAGACAGTGCCAGAAACAAGTGGTTCGTAAGCCTTTTGGCCGTAGCGAATCGAATTGAATGGAAGGGGAATCGAAGGGGAATCGAAGGGAAAGCGAACCACCCGAAGGCCTCATAAATTTCATAGCGAAATTGTTAAATTTTAATAAAATCAAAGCGTATCAAAAGCGATTTGTTCACCAGGCGACGACTGTTTCTTGTTTTTTTATATCTGCTTTGTTTTTTTTTTTTTTTGTTTTTGTATTTCCTGGGCACGGAATGCCCAACCCCCCTAAGGACAATCGTCCTTGCCATCGTTATCCTTGTTCGCAGCCTGGTTATATCGCGTGTTTATTGTTGCAACAGTCGCGCGGGGCTCTTTAAAATAATTCAAGGCTTAAGGGTTGGGTTTTTGGCCTCGGCTTCGGGTTTTCGGGCTTCTGGGTCTCGAATCTAACCCCCGCGTTGCGCATTTCCAAGTCGCTTTTCGTGACTCGTTAAAGGATTAAAATCATTTTAATGGATTTTTCAAGCTGTTGTTTTGTTGTATAATTGTCGCCTCCATTGTGTCTCGCTCTGTTTTCATAAATAGGGCACACATTGAAACGGAAGCAGGGTGGCTCTGACAGGAACCCATCGTCCTTCGTCCTTTGCCTGCCTCATTTGTCATCATCTTTATGCTAATGGCTTGAGGTGTTAATGAAGCGGCTTCGACGGGGTTCTTGGGCCAACTTTTTGCTATCAAACTGATGGGAAAAGGTGGCTCAAAAGTCAAAGGAACTCCTAACCAAATGTTGATATAAGAATGGATTCTTGAGGTCTTCTTAAGGTAGTTTAGCATTTGATTGTCTTTGTGGAAAGTGGAAAACAGGTTCATTATCTTAATCTTAGCCTTAAGTAATATCAATTATAAAGAAGACTTTGAAGATATTATTATTTATTGGCTATTGAAATAAACACAAAGCCTTATCAGTCTTAAACTCAAAACCGAAACACAAAAAAGCTCTTAATCTAAGCTGCCTGCCTTAGCCGCTTATAGCCCTTAGCCATAACCCTTAACCCAAAACAGGCTACAAAAGCGCAAGTCATCTCATTAAGGACTAAGCCCAACTCAATTTGCGATGAGTCTAAAAAAAAAGAAGCTCGCGGCAAACGAAATGGAAACCCCGGGAACGGGGTTCTTATCATAATGACGGCTATATCGCCGACCTATCGGGTTATAGGCAAAGATCCCTAATTAACCCATTAGCCAATCTCCGCCTGATTTTCCAGCTTTTTGTTGGCCCAAAGCCGCGGGCATCGGGCATCGGGCATCGGGATTTTGGCTTTGGTTCGTTTAACCCCTGGATAAAAGGTATATTTATTTACAACTAATTTCGCGTGTGGCCCGCGGCCAAAATAGACAGGCAATAAGCTCACCTGGCCTTAACCCTCCCCGCCTCCCCGCCCTCGCTGCTCGCCCCCTTCGCGCACTTACACATTAACCCCCGACTGCCCGACTGACATTGATACGTGTGGTTCGGTGTCTAACGAGCGACAAGCCCTTGAGGCCATTTCCCAAAAGCCGCTTAGTTCCCAGTTTAGCTCCGCTCAACTCACAGCACTGAGAGGAAAGACGTGGATTTATATAGGGGATTGGTTGAAGGTAAGTTAAACGTTGTTTGGAAATCCAGTTAACATTTAGTTATTATTGGTAAGAGAAAGAGAGAGAGAGAGAAGTCAGAAAGTGATCTCCTTTATATGTCAATCTGTGTTTATGAAATATATATCCATATCCTCAGCCGATTTCTAAGAAGTATCTTTCCCATAACATCTTATCATTAACCCAACAGAAGTTCTCTTTCCAAATCTCATTTTTCCTATACTCTATTCCCTGTATTTCTAACATTCCTTTTATATTTTCTTAACAAACAAAGAACGAAATCAAAGAGAGACCTTGCCTAGCCTATAATCGAACCCATTTCCCTCAGTGTGGCTGTGATGTTATCGCTTAAGCCTTCCGAATCCGATTCCCCCCCAAAATCGTCGTCGTCTACCTGTTCCGCTTACCTGGCAACTTGAAGGGCAATCCGGCCATAAGTGGATCCGGTCCAAAACGTTGTGGCCCAAAGGCGAACGGATGGAATCCCTGGTGTCGCACCTTGGATCTGGGCTCCCTTGGCCCATCCACGGTCACCTTAATGGCCTTCGTGTATGTGGCTATTTGGATGGGATTCGTCGAGATGACAATTGTCAAAGTGAAGCTTTTGCCTAGAAAAAAATGTCATTAAATGAATATTAAATGGTTGGATTAACAATACTTTAAACTAAACTTAAAGTTAGAAGGGAAATTCTTTTTAGAAGATAAGACTTTAGTTAAGGACTTCATTTTCTTTAATAAATTCCAAAAATTTAGCTTTTTTCATTTTAAAAGTAATTCAAAAAGCCTTTAATAACCTTCTCTAAATATAGTTCTAGTCCTAGTTCCATGTTTTAAGTTTCTAAAAACATATTTTAAATCATACAAAGTTCCCAAGCCCAGCAAAATATTTAATGCTGATTTCCAGCGACCATTCCAATGGGCAGAGATCCACAGAAGCCACCACCCAATAGCCAACACCCACACTTTTTGGCACTCCCACGGCAGCTGCAAATTATGCTGCGAATTTATAGATTTTCTATGGCCCTATGGGTTGCCATGGCCAGTATGGAATGGGTTCTAGTGCGAGATTGGCCGCCCCTCAGAACTGCACATGGAAATTAAAGTGCGGAATTTCCGAATGGGATTGGGAATGGAAAAAGGGGCAACGGTAACGCTTTCCGCGAAAATTAACCCCCGACGGAGTTGTGAAAGCTTCATAAAAACACACACACCAATGCAGACATGCAGATTTGCAGAGGCGCATAAATGAATGAATGAACGGACGGGCGGAGGATGCTGCGGATCAGGGGGGGGGCTATAGGGATGAATCGGGCTGGATAGCGGGGGAGATCGGGATTCCAACTACTACTCGTATGCACTTCCTTTGCAGTCAATGCAATATTAAGTAGCCTGTGGCGACTTTGACATGCCAACTATTGTGGCGGTGTCTGGTCTGGATTCCATAGCCCATAACCCATAACCCAAATCCCAAATCTCGCATACTACATCCCCTTAACCCTCTACAGTCCGACGGCGTAAACGCACCCCCTAAAAACGGCGAGCTGCATATTTGAAATATCCATAAAGCGAAACTCCCAGACGCGCGAATATAAAATTCATTTGCCAAACATTTTGAATGCCAAAATGCTTGAGTTAATCAAGGAAAGGTGAAAGCGCAAAAGGGGGAGTTATAGGATGTAAGGAGGTTGGGCTGAGAGATCTTTAAGACGGTTATTTTTGAGGGAAAACTATTGAAAAGAAAAGTTATCAAGGATATGAAAACATAGCACTATTAAGCACAAGACCAAGCTTGTTTCCCTTAATATGGTTATGAGTTTATCTGGCAAAGTAGGCCATGCTGTATGCTTTCCCTCTTAAAAGTAAGATTTGAGATTTTTTAAGAATTATTATTCTTGTTTTGTAGAAGAACTAAGCTATAATTTGTATGTCATTATTAAAGATCCAACTTACTATTCCATCACCCATCCCTATCATCCAAAGATCAACGAAAACTATCCAAAATTTGGGTATGCAAATTTGGCTCGGTCATGTGCCCTCATAATCCATTTAGTGCCCACCACCACCCACCATATAATTCCGAGTCATTCGCAGCTTTCTGGTCTAGGCCGACAATAAGGAGACATAAAAAACAAACAAACTTCTTAGATTAATATTAAATTAAACGAAGCATGCAAAAAACGCAAGAAGGCGGTAATCATTAAGACAAAGGGCGGCAAACAAACTGACGACGTCTGTAGCGGCTGCAATGGAAAAGCGAGGAGGGGGTGGGTGGGGAAAACCCCAGAAACCCACGCAAGAAAACAAATGAACATAAACACAGGCGAAACGAACCAAGAAACCCAACAAAATGAAATGAAACTTTTTTAATTATGCGCCCTCAGCAACAGCAGAGCAAAGCAACAAGCTGGAAAAGCGGGTGGGAAAAGAGAAAATCCGGAGGGGCAGGGGGGGTTCTGGGATTTTCAAGTCAACAAGAAGGAGTAACCAGAGAAGGCTCGCAAAGTGGCTAAAGACAAAAGACTTTGGCGTCGTCTATTTTTGTTTTCTATTTATCTTTTTTCTTTTTCTTTTTTTTTTTTGGCTCTACTCTACTCGCTTTTGTGTTTTGCCAAATGAGCAAAAATTGCAAATAAATCTGTAGCTGTTAGCCATTTTCCACCAGGCCACCACCCACCGCCCCCCCGCCCTCCAATTTCTAACGTTTGTCAGGAGGCGTGGCATCCACAACAACGGCGACAAAGAACTTTTCGCCTGCTAATAAGATGAAAAACCATTAAAAGTCGACACAAGTCGCGTCCATTGCAAGTGGAAAATGTTTGGGTGGGGGGAATGTTAAGGGGGCTGGTGTGGAAAATTCCGAGGGCGGGCGGCTGTGGAAAAGCCAAGTGGGTGGCAGTGTGTGTGAGCGCCGGGTTAAAATGTTGTCATTTTCGCAACAAAGCAGAAATTATCACCACTTTGCAAAAGGCGACGACAACGACGACGGCGGAAAAGGAGTTGCAAAATGCGGAAAAAGGGCTGGGAAAATGGAGTGCTGGGCCAGGACTCGGCTCGATGGCAATGTGGACAAAGTCTGCACCCTTTTAACAGGACCCAACTGTGTGACATATGTGTGAGTGTGAGGCCACAGTGGACCCAACAAGAACTGCAAATTGAGAGCCAAAAACTAATATTTGGGTTTTACTTTTCGAGCTGCAACAAAGAACTTCACAAGGGACAGGATATAGTTATCAGTTTTACATTAAGTATTGAAAATCTATGACTTATTATTATACTAACTTATTATCAAATATGTCTATATGTCTTTAGTACTATTAACTATCAAAATAAGCAAGGTAGAAAACTGTCAAACAGTTTCTAGAAGATACTTTTTGGCTTGAACACTTCTTAATATCCTCCCTAAAGACTTTCCCAATTCCCTCTCAAAAATCAAAAGTACACACTCCACTGTAACTCATTTACGTGGACGCGACTGTGTGTGCCGGGCGCTAAGTGATTTTAAAACAAAGTTTTTGAAACGTTTAACCTTACCGAACAAAAATGTTTCATTTGCCGGCAGGGACAGAGCAGGGCAGAAGCCAAAGGCTTTGCCTGCATTTTAACTTTCGATGCTGATAATGAAGGCAGGACTCCCCAGCCGAAAATGGGGGAGTGGTTCTCGAGTGGGTGTGTGGGCAGAGCCAGGCAAGGCAAGGACACCGACAAGGGTTCGTTTGCTTAGGCAATTTAATGGCTGCTGCTACTGCCTGCCTTTTGGCCCTGTGTGCCTTCTGCCTTGTGCCGTGTTAATGTCGTTAGTAGCATGGCGCCATAATTATAATTTGACATAAGACAAGAAGTCTGAGGTTGACAACAAAATGACATTTTAAATACAGCAGGATGCGAGACAAGGCAGCAACCCCAAGGACACGCCCCATCTCGTATTTAGACACTTAACAGATCATAATTTCAACACTTTGCCTAATGCCAGTGAATTTGCTTAATGGCCGGCCTTCATCGAGGATTTCCAAGGGGATCAAATATCGGGCAGAAGTTTCCTCTCACCCCTTTCACATGCTTAAAACTTTCCCTAAGCCTCAGAAAAATATCTTGGCATCACATTTCGTTACAGAAACTCCGGTCCAGTGGAAAGACTTCGCTTTCCTTGCCAGTTTATTTGCATAAACTCCACTTTTTACTCCCCAAAAGGCAGCCATAAATATTCATATGTTTATTTTATTGCAGAAAAAAGACACAGTCTGTGTGCCTGAGTAGGGGTTGGGCTTGCCTTTTCCTTTGACTTGGCCAAGTTGAGACTGTTTCCAGACGGTTTGTTGATTGTCGATGTTCAAAATGTCACTTTAAGATACTTTTTAGCATTCGAATGGAGTAGATATTCTCTGTTACTATCTGGCAAGTTGCTAAGCCATAAGAAAGGTTAACAGAAAGTGCAGAAACTAAAATTGCAAGTAAAATATTCCTAATGATTGAGATCGAATCGAAGTCAGCTTTTCCCAATGTTCTATAAATCAGCATTACAATTTTCCCATGGCTTACGGTAAGGTAAAGGTTAAGGAAGAAGACAATTCTATACTAAAAGTAATACGTTTTTAGTTAGTTCCTTAATAACTTGAACTTAATTTATAAGCTAAACTTTATCGATGTTTCCTTAGGCTGTTCAAAAGGTGACTAAAAGAGGCAGTTCTTAAGACAACAGATAGACCCTTAGTATGTGTAGTGAGGAAATGGCTTAGAAGAACAGATGAAGACGCTGGACAACGAAGCAGAAACCAAGTACCGATTGTGCCATCTGGCAAAGGAGAAGATCAAAGACACAGCCTAAGAAGACGACGACGCAATGAACAATGCTAACGACGAGAAAGCGACTTGAGGATCCCGGAGCTGGTGAGAAGACGCGACTACGTAAAGACGTGCTCGGAGAGGAGCTAATAAGACTCAGAGTTTAATTTAAGAAGTGACGGCAAAAAGACGAGCCAATGAGAAACACTTACGACGTGACGACGTTTTAGTTAATTCAGTTAATTATAATAAATATAATAATAGTTTGTCAAAAAAGTCTTGCGGTATTTTCGCTAGTTGGCGCTGAAAGCGCGTAGTTCTTGTTTTATTCGTCGCATCAGGTCATACTGTACCCTTTTGGAAAGCTCATTTCACGCGCTTTGATTGATTGTCTTTTCTTTTAAGTCGTTCGTTAGTTATAGCGTCGCAATCATGGAGCAAAATAAAGAGAAAATACGGCATATTTTACAGTACTACTACGATAAAGGCAAAAATGCCTCTCAAGCCGCCAGTGCAGCTATGGACCCGATACAGTTTCCATTTCCACCGCACAACGATGGTGTCAACGTTTTCGTTCTGGTGTAGAGGTGGTCGAAGATGCGCCACGCTCCGAGTTTCTTGCCAATAGGGAAGCAAGCTTCTATGAGAGGGGCATTATGAAGTTGGCATCTCGTTGGGAACGCGTCATCGAACAAAACGGCGCATATTTGACTTGAATCGCATTGTTGTAACCAATTTTATACCGCAAGACTTGTTTGACAACCTAATAAAACCCCAAATTTATACCCATTTCCAAGGGAAATACCTTTATTATAGTTTGAACTTCCTA